TCAATGCGGCTATACCGGCAAGCTAGTCAATCGGGATGACGGCCGATATTGGACTGGAGACTTTGGAGACATAAATTCAACATTTTCTCCCTTTGAAGTACACCAGGCTCAAGCTGCTTCAAGGTACACATCCCTAGCAAGAGAAGCATCTCTGTCGTCCTCCTTTAACAGCGGAGTGCCAACTGTGCCTTACAAAAGAGCACGGCTGTCTCGCTCTGAATTTACATACACATTTCCACTCACCACCGGCCACAAGTTCATTCGTTTGTATTTCTACCCAGCTTCATATGGTGACGACTTTGACCGATCCAACACCCTCTTCTCCGTCAAAACTGGTGGCTTTACTCTTCTCCACGACTTCAACACTTCTCTCACTGCCGATGCGTCTAGGATGAAGACGATATACAGAGAATTCTGTGTAAGCATTGAGGAGGGAGAGGAGAGTTTGAACATCACATTCACTCCAAGCCCAAATGCATATGCCTTTATCAACGGCATTGAAATTGTATCCATGCCTAGCACTCTTTACTACACTCCAGCGCAAAGCGATGATGGTGTTGACCTTGTTGGCTTCCAAACCAAAGTCCCCATTCAAAACACGACTGCTCTAGAGATGGTGTATCGATTGAATGTCGGGGGACCCTTACTCTTTCCAAAGAAAGATACTGGCATGTACCGCAAATGGGATAGTTATGTTGAGGAGCAAAGTTACTTAGACACTTCAAGTTTAAGTTCGAGCCACCTTCTACAACAAAATACTAGTATTGAACTCAACTTTACCACAATTGCAAACTACACTGCGCCAAAAGAAGTTTACCAAAGTGGTCGGTCAATGGGTGCGGACACTAATCTCACCTGGCAATTTCCGGTGGATTCCAAGTTTTTTTACTTGGTTAGGCTTCATTTTTGTGAGTTTCAACTTGAAATCACCAAGGTTAGAGACAGAATGTTTACAATCCAAATAGCCGATCAAACCGTAGAACAAGGAGCCGACGTAATTGACTGGAGTGGTGGAAACGAGAGACCAGTGTACAGAGACTATTTGGTCTCCATGTCTACCGACCGTGGTGGAACCCGGAAGAAAGTTAACCTCTCTCTCGCACTGCAAGCAAATCCAAATGCTGGAATCTTGAATGGGCTCGAAATCTTCAAGCTAAGTGAACCAAATGGCAATCTTGCTGGACCCACCGATTTGATGCCGTCAAGTTTAGTAAAACACAACACCAAGTCCAATCGTATACTTGCCATTGCTGCCGGTGTAGCTTCCGGCCTACTCTTGCTCTCTGTCCTTTTTGGATTCCTGATTTTCAGGCGTCGACTGAAAGCCAAGTCCTTTGTCTCCATCCATGGGGCGACCAAGTCAACAGAGACTCCCGGGTCATCTTTACCCCCTTATTTATGTTGTTACTTTCCACTGGCTGAGATCAAAGCCGCCACCCAAAACTTCAATGATAGTTTCATCATTGGAGTTGGCGGGTTTGGTAACGTGTACAAAGGCTATATCGACGACGGTGGGGCTACCCCTGTAGCTATCAAACGGCTGAAACCCGAGTCATCACAGGGTGCCCATGAGTTCAAGACGGAAATAGAGCTGCTCTCCCAGCTCCGCCACCGCCATTTAGTGTCTCTCATTGGATATTGTACGGACGACAATGAGATGATCTTGGTGTACGATTACATGGCACATGGGACCCTCGCCGACCATCTCTACCACAATGAGAACCCCCCTCTTTCTTGGGAGCAACGACTTCAAATTTGTATTGGCGCGGCACGAGGGTTGAGCTACCTTCATACCGGTGCCAAGGAGACCATCATCCACCGTGACGTGAAGAGCACAAACATTTTATTGGATGAGAAATGGGTGGCCAAAGTATCGGACTTTGGATTGTCAAAAATGGGCACTACCAACACGTCCAAGACTCACATCAGTACAATGGTGAAAGGTAGTTTCGGATATTTGGACCCGGAATACTACCGACGTCAACGGCTAACTGAGAAGTCGGACGTGTATTCGTTCGGTGTAGTATTGTGTGAGGTACTGTGTGCAAGGCCGGCTGTGATGCATACGGTGGAGCTGAGGCAAATGAACTTGGCTGAGTGGGTCAGGAGCTGTCATCACGACGGGGAACTTGATCAAATTATTGATCCAAGCATAAGGGGTAAGATTGAAATTCATTGTCTGAATCAGTTTGTTGAGATTGCAATGAGTTGCATGAATGACAGTGGGATCGAACGGCCGTCAATGAATGATGTTGTGAGGGCGCTTGAGCTTGCATTGCAGCTCCACCGCAACTGCATTGAAAGGAACAATGAGGGTGCCTTCGTCTATGACAGTACCGCCGCGGAAATTAGAAGTGCTGAGCCAGGTTGCGCTACAGATGAATCCATCCAATGTATATCTGAGACGATCTTTTCTGAGATTAATGATCCAAATGGGCGATAATGGACAACATTTTTGAAGTACCCAAAAACTGTATTTGTATTTGAAACCAATAATATTGAATGCAAATAAATTACTTGGAGTGACAGAATGCTAAATTTTTTACATGCAAGTCTTTAATTTAAACATCAGAAAGTAATGGGAATTTTACCAAGTATAATTAGAAGGTAATGGGATATATATATTTGAAATTCATAGTCATCACTAAGAATGGCAGTAATTATAAAAATTTATTAGGTGTGTGAGTCAGTCCTACTTAAAAATGCACCACCCAGAATTAAGTAAATGCATACATCATACATGCATTGCACCAGAGATATCAAATCTTATTAAAGCATTAATTAAACAAGAAGTCTGGAGTGGGAAATTCTATTGACAGTCAACAATTTCCGGAGATGTTGACTTAGAGACTGCAGAGTACATCAACACGATTTTCGGGCAATTCGTGGAGGATGCGTAATGCCGTGAAAGGTAGTATCCACCGGCGGCTTCAATTATTGTCAAGGATCTTCTCTTTGTTAAGTTCACAAAGGAGAAGTTGAATGAAGAAGTGGTCTATGCTGTTTGTAAAGACGGCATTGCGTCGGGGGATAAGGTCAGGAGCTTACCATGTTGCCATTACTACCAACAGGACTGCATTGTGCCCTGGTTGGGCATTCGAAATACATGCCCGGTTTGCAAGTATGAGCTGCAGACGGATGATCCTGATTATGAAAGGAGCAAGTGTGAAAGGGCTGCTCGTGGTGTTTCCTGCGATTCAGAGGTCAGGTTTGAGTAATTTGTGTGAGATGTTTATATAGGTAAATATACTCTTTGGTTTGCTAAGTGTAAAAAGTGCAAATAGGCGTTTTAAAGACAAAGATGCCAAGTCATGACTCATGACAGCTCATTTAGTTTGTTAAGCAGTTATGTTGTTACAGCAGGTTGTTAGAGATAGTTTTTTGTATAGCCTTGATTATATATATACACCTCAAATGTAATTGTAATTAACAAGTTTAGTAAATGAGAAGAGGATTATTCAGTAAAACTATTCTTCTGTTTTCCTTTGTATCTCTATTTTCTTTATGGTATCAATCGCCACTGCCTCATGGCACTCTTCGATCCTAGTCTCTTCCGCTTCTGTGCTCTGATCTCTGGGTTTTTCAGGTAGTCTTATATCCAATGATGAAATGAAGCTTGTAATACATTTTATAGCTTTGGTTAATTTGGTGGAGTTTCTAAGTGTAATAAATTGATTGTTAGTGTTACTTGAGGTCTTAGTAGTGCGATTGAGACTTGACGTCTTAGAAGTTTGAAGGAGTATGTTTAGAGTCTAGACGATTGGGATTAGTTTTTACTCGTTACAAATTGGATATGAATTCATCGCATAGATCTTCTCTTTGGTTCCGGATGGCGGTGAACGGAGAGAGAGGTGTTTGTACCAAAAATGGAAAAAGCCCAATAAGGATTTAATTTATTTCCTCAAAGATGCCCAGACCCAAACCTGTATGTTTTTACAATATAGGGCTTCTTCATTTCATAATTGGGCCATAATTTGGTTTAATTCGCAAGTCCATTATTCATATTCATATCCATATATGACTTTGACCTGTCAAGGGGTCAAAGCGTAATGGTCTTTTCACAGTTGGCACATGCTGATTAGAGAGGAGACCAAGATAAACTATTTTTATCAGCACTCAGAGCAAAAGCAAGGCAGTCGGGCTCGATCCAAATCTTAAACAAAGCTCAAACAGGAGCTTTCGGTGATGCACTACCGGCGACCATTGCTTTTCCTTATCCACTCGAGATTGATTACCAAAAAGACAGAATTTGTAATGATGCTGTTTGAACTCAGAATTTCATTATCTGTTCATCATCATCGGGTTCAAATTTTCAGCCTATAAATAGGAAGCTCAGCAGCAGTACTTGACGACTCTCTCTCTCTAAATCAAACGCAATGTCTTTAAACACTACAGACTTCAACTCGATCAACACTTGATCTTAAATTGAATTCTCAGTTTAAACCAATCTCACTCTCAAAGATCATCAAGTTGACAACTCCTATGATCATCTCCTTTATTGCTCTGCCAAATACTTGGTATGATTCACTAGTATAACTGCTAAATATTTCCCAAACAACTAAAATATTCAAATTGGATGAAGACATCTACAGCTTTCATTCCTTTTTTAGTGTAATTGTATTATATTAAGATAAATGATCTTGCGTTTTCATTTATTTACAATTGTATTATAATTGATGAATTAAGAGGTTTTCATTTCCAAGTATTCGGTTATTTGCATTTAGAGAGTAGTTTATTTCAATATTTATTTTAGATCCTATCAAGGGCATACAAGGTTTATCCGACAGGGGCAGCCCTATTAAGGGTTTTCTTCTTGCCTGATAAACAATACTTAGCCTAATCAGGGCTTTCGTCTTGCCCTATCAAAATACATATTTTGCCTGATCAAGGGTTTTCTTCTTGCCCGATCAAAATACATATTGCCCGTCAAAATATACACTGCCCAATAAAGGATAATTAAGGTATGATTAATACTATTAGACCTGATATTAGCATAAACGAGCCTACCGTAAAGGTTTTTTTGTGCCCGATCAAGGGATTCTCTTACCAAAATATGGTTTTTTTTGTTTGATTAGGTACGTCATGTGCCTATTGACAGGACCCGCCCCGGATTACGAACCGATCAGATTCCCTCGGGAACCGGATCGGATCCCGTCTTTATGTCCGGCATTCCGCAGATGCCGGGCCCACTTACTAAAACCCGAGACTTTCTACCAAAAATTTTGGCAGAGTCTCCCCTGCAAACAGGACATATCCCCAAAATTTCAACCTGTCAGAAACACAGATATTTACAACCCAACAGCCAGCATGCATTACACAAAGTATAGTGTTATAGAACATGGCCTACGGCCTCAAAATACCAAATCCTAACAGGGCAATAACAGAGCATCTAACATAATTCAACACACTAGCAAAAATGTAGTTTACGTATTTACATAGCACTGAGGCTCCGAGACAAGCTCAAGTACTGCGGCTCGTGATAGCAGGGTACAAAACACGGCACTGCAGCTCGTTCCAGTCACTACTGGCTGTGGGGCGAAAAACAGAAAATTGTGAGTGGACAAAACAAAGTTTAGTTCAATTTAAATCAAAGTAGTATAACCCCACTGTTGTAAAACCATGCATGAAAACAATGCATTAAATCCATCATATACATATATAAATAGATTGCTCAAACCCGAGCCAAATCCGAAATCCAATGAAAACTTACAAATCAACCCATCCAAACCTTTCCTTACAAATCTCAAATCAACTCTCGAAACACGTGCCCACCGGCACGACGAGCGGGGAAGTATCCTCACTCAAAAATAAGAACAATTGCATATTACTAATAATATAAGAGATATACTATATATATATATATATATATATATAAGACACACCTAATTGTACCGGGGAAACAATCCAACAGGGGATTGTTGACTAGTCCACATTTTACAGCCCTCAAACGACATGTGGCTAGGGATGAGCCGTCCAACTGGGGGACTAACTCTCAGCCAGCACGTACGGACGAAGAATCAAGACCCGTACGTCTGTAAACAGTCCTACGCGCGCAGACTACCCAATTAAGGGTCTACAGCGACACCCCGTTAAGGTATGCCCCGGGTTCCGACATTTCCAAGTATCTCAATCCATAAACCATTCACAAATCCAGGGGAAGGTACACGGGGTAGTGCTTATAGCACTCCAAACTGACAATCTATACCACATCTTTCCACAACTCATAAAACACCCCGTACTTCCCACACATAGCCCTCAAAGATAGGTAACAATTTCTCAATATCAAATTTTATATACTCAAGATACTTAGAATATCAAAACCCAGAAAATATATACCAAATACTTACGAACATATTAGTTTCACTTTAAAGCCCAAATTAACTGTCAGTAAATCCTTAAATTCTCATGCATGCAATTTCCAAGATAAATCCATGCAATTTATTTGAAAACAAAGTCCACTCACAAGTAGTCCCAAGCTGCGCGACCCCGAGAGGGTCCTGCCTGCTCTGAAGGCGGAGTCGGATCACCTATTTCAGAATAGGAATACGATATTAAAATCCAACTCTTCAAAAATGAGACTTTAAAGAAAAATCCTAATTTCCCGGGTTTCTCTTAATTACAAGGATCGAGACGTCCCTAAAATCCAATCTAAGGGTTCCAAGCGCTGTAAAAGTCTCGGAAGACGCTTGGTCAACCGGACGGTCAAAACTTTAAGTTGATGAATCGGAACATCCGGGGCTCCGATTCACGATCCGCAAATTCCTATACGATCCTAGGAATGCCAGGAATAACATACGTGAAATTGGGTTTGATCCAACGGTCCAAACACATCAAACCCAAAAATCACAGAATAGGTATAATTGGTTCGAGGTCCATACGATATCCAAATTAAGATCCGTAAACTCTTACGCGCTCGTGACAACGTAGGGATCATTCTAAGATAAAATGGGATTTCTGCCGGTCTGCCCACGCGTCGGCAGCGCGTGGTGGCGCGGTTACTGTTCCGGTGACCGGAAAAATTTAGTATCTTGACTCCAAACTCCTAACCTAGGTAGAACACCTAATTTGGAGTCACCTTTCTTCTTGGGTGAAGGCCAGAAAATGGCCGGAAGTGGCCGGAATCGGGTTCTCAAATTCTGTCAAAACCTAATTCGAAAATCGGGTTGCTTAAGCTACGAATCGTTAAAAACCTAACCATCAGTCAGCTAGAGCACGCAGAGTAGATGAGAAACCATACCTCGTGCGTCGGAAATGGTGGCCGGACGACGGAGAACGAGCGGCTGAAAAATCGCGACTGTTTCCGACTGTTTCCTTGCGTTTTCCGGCGGCTGGACGACGGCTGAGGGCGGAGGACGGCCTGGGTTGCGTCGGGGAGGTCTGGCCGGATGTTTTGGTACCGGTGCCGTGGGCTAGGGTGGTCTGTGATGGTGGCTAGGTTAGTCGCAGAGGGAGAGAGTCGACGGGAGAGAGAGAGACGCACGGGAGAGAGAGAGTGAGGAGAGAGAAATGAGATATTATTTCTGAAAAAAACTGATTTTATCCAAAAATAATTTCCGAAAAATAATTCCAAATATGTCCTCTATATTTTTCGATCGTAACTTTCTCGTTCCAAGTTCGAATCGAGCCTACTCCGTGTCTACGGACTCGGCTCAGTACCACCTATCTAAAAATACCACTTGTCGTCCCAAAATCACTCCGGATAAAAATTGACCTTTTTGCCCCCACTTCAAGGGCAAAATTGGAAATTCCATTTTTAATTTAAATAAATTAGTGAATAGTCTTATTTTTGGTCCGGGATGTTACA